TGTTAAATTAATATAAGATCTTATTTAAAACATTTCTAATAAATCTATTGTCAACATTTCAATTTAAGTCCATTTGTAGTTAATGAATATCATTCATTGAATGTATAAAAAATAATTATAATTAATTATTTGTTTGTGCATAAGATTTACTAATATATAAATGTTAATTAAATTCCAAACATAGACGAAAAATTTTCCCGCCCAACATCATGCCAATTATAGCAATAAAGATTGGTCCATTATATATACTAGTGTTAAACCCGTGTGATGCACGGGAGAATATGGTTCAATAACAATTTTTTTAGTAAGTTAATTAATTAAAAATTCTATTATAAATAGATTGATGGTATGATCGGTCTGAGTAGTATTCACAAACTAATATTTTTAAACCAAAAGCACTGCTTATAGTACAAAATAGAGTTTTTCATTTATTGAAACATAATAAGCCGACATGTGTGTTAAGAAATCACAAGTGGTAACTGATGTCACGTGAATTTGAAAGGTAATTACAGATAAAAAAGAAATAATATATCACATATAGTTCAAAAAAGACAACATATTTAAATAAGCTATTAAATATTGAAATAAATAAATAAAAAAAAACAGTACAAGTCAACCTCATTATATTTAGATATTACTAAAAACTTCCTTATACACAACATTTTCAATATGAGTCTTAGAAGCTTGATCTCCACACACTAAGATTTTTAACCCACTACGATTAGTTACACGTGATACGGCCACATACAACTGTCCATGACTTAATACAGGATTTTTTAAAAACAGGCCGGCATGTGTTAGCGACTGACCTTGACTCTTGTTTATAGTCATCGCATATGAGACCATAAGTGGAAACTGTCGCTGCTTGAACTTGAAAGGTATTCGTAGATCGGAAGGAGTGAGCGTCAGCCGTGGGATCAAGACCTTCTCCCCAGACTTGGCACCAGTAAGTATCTTACACTCGAGCACATGAGTAGATAGCTTTGTCACGACCAAACGTGTTCTATAGCACAAACCCATGGAATGGTCAATTTTTCTTAGCAACATAACTGGAGTGCCCACTTTCAAGTGCAAGGCATGGTTCGATGCACTAGAACATTTGATTGAGTTGAGAAATTCAGGTGTATGCAAATCATGCAACAAACCAACATTAGAGTCTGATTTGCATGTGCTATCTGAACTCAAATAAGTATGCCCATCTGATAAGTTCAATGACGTCATGTACTCATTAATAGTCTCGACAACATCAAGGGTAGGAGCCAATATCGCTCTATCCTTCAAATAACTCGGATCATGCATGTTGTCTTTATACATCGGAAAGGTGCTTTCCAATATAGTCGCGATCGGATCGTCAGAGCTCCTCAAAAGAACATCTTCTGGAATGTCTATAGTCGCACAACCATCATTTGAATCACCTATTGTTCCGTCACCAATACTTGCAATCCATTCAGAAAACTTTCTAAGCTCCTCACGTTCACCTACCGAACCAGCACTTTGCAATCGCATGTTTTTAGTAAGACACAAAACAATACAATCCGCCCATAATTCTGATGCATTTATGGTTGCATTAACAATATCTTGACGATTACCTTTAGGAACCACAGGCAATATTTGGTGAAAATCCCCACCAAAGACAACAGTTTTACCTCCAAATGACCTGAATGCATTAGATGGGTGCACATACTGCATGACAGACTTCAAAGTTTTGCTGACAGCTTCAAAACAATTCTTGTTCATCATTGGTGCTTCATCCCAAATGATTAGCCTGCATCTTATAATCAACTCGGCAAGCGGACTGTCTTGGTCAATAGAGCAAGTCGAGCCCTCATATGGATTTAATGGAATAGAAAAGCGTGAGTGGGCAATTCGTCCACCGGACAACAAAAATGATGCAATACCGCTCGATGCCACATTAAGCACAATATCACCCTGTGATCTAAATTTTGCTGAGAGTGTTCTCCAAACATAAGTCTTGCCTGTGCCACCATACCCATAGACAAAGAACATACCACCTTTACCAGACTCCACAGATTTTACAATCTTCGAATATACATCTTTTTGTTCATCAATCATGCTGGAAAGAAGATTGTTATGCTCCAAGGTAAGAGCGGCTCGATCGTAGCTGAATTCATCAAGTATAAGTCTATTTTGATCAGGGTCAATGGCTTGATCATCAGGAAAGAGCATGCCTTCACAATCTCGTAGACTTCTACCACATCGGCGCAATATTTTTTCAATTTCAGCAAGTGCGGCATTCTTGATTTCATCATCAGTCATGGTTAAATCTATTATGTAAAATAAATTAACCAAAATATTACCAAACTATTTAACACATTAAAAGGATACCAACAATAATTATTGTATAAAAGCATTTAAACTAAATAATATAAAATCACATTTCGTTCCAAAAGAAAGCAAGAACACAAAGAAAAAACTGGAATGATGCAGATATTTAAATAAAACTCAGTACTATAGCTGAAATGCAATTGCCTTTGAGATTTTTTAGA